GTTCAAGAAGTAGCAGCAGCAGGAGGCGCCAGAGAGTCCTGCCCATGCGATTCAGGAAATTCAACGGGCTTTCGCGGTGGTATCGCGGCTTCAGGAGCAGGTGATCAGAGAGGTCGACAAACTGCTCTCATGGCGCTAAGACATCATCGCTCAAGAGTCTGCTGTACGTGAGCTGCGCGTCGAACTCGACGGACCAGATCAAGAATACAGTGTAGGCCAGTTCACAAGAAACCCAACCCTGGGACCCCACGACGTCCATTGATTTCAGGTGTGGGAACACCACGCTCTCCACAGCAAAACCATCGAAGCCCAAGAAACCAAGGGCACCCTGGAGGCTAGCAGGGTGTTCCTTGGCATGGGTCTCCACTGTGCAAGTCACTGGTCCGAGAGTTGCAACGGCAGGCGCCCCCCCCCACCATGTGGCCGAGGCACCGGCGGCACCAACGGCCCCATAGGAAAAAGCTCGACGACCATTGCAACGACAGGTTCGACATCGACGAGCTTTCCCAGAACGACGGGACCTCCTCCTTCGGCTCTGAGCAGGGCCCGTCGCAGGAGGATCGCGGCGCCATCGCCGAGAGGGAAGGAGTCTTTCGCTGCTGGCGCTTCACCATTGGCCAAAGACCTACTGGGGCCCCCTTGGGCAGGCTCCGAGGGATACACGCTGGTCGGATGAAGTAGGTAGACGCATGAAGCAGGAAGGCGGACAAAGTGGATTGGGTCCAGGTACCCCCAGAGAATAACAAAACACAGCAAAACCATGCCGATTCTTGAAGTAGGAAGGCGCTTGAAGTAGATTGGGATCTGAGCATCCAAAAACACATACTGTCAACGGCCGGCGTGTACCAGTGAAGCCCACCGTGAGCACCTCGCACGCCCTGTTGCCGAGCAACGGCGCACGGGGGACGGAGCAGTAGCTGAGGGGCCCGTTGCCCACCACCACCACCACCACCACAAGTTGGAGGGGGCAAGGAGGTGCAGGGGGAGGATGAGGATGAGGATGAGGATGAGGATGAGGAGGAGGAGGAGAAGGGAGAGGAGGAGGAGGAGGACGAGGAGGAGGAGGAGGATGAGGAGGAGGAGGAGGAGGACCTCCTTCCCCTCCAACTTACAACTTATGGTGGTGGTGGTGGTGATGGAAAAAAAAGCCCATCCACAGGGGGAGGTCGAGGGGACGCGGATCTGCCAGCACCCCCCGATGGAGCTCGCGAGTCTGAGGGGGCGCGTCTGTCTCCAAGAGACCGCTGCGCCTCGTGACAAGAGTCGTCTGCCGCTGCTGCTGCAGAGACCGCCGGCGGAGCCGCGGCGTCTCATCGGGCGATCTGCACGCCATGGCAGAAGGAGGAGGAGGAGGAGGAGGAGGAGGGGGAGGAGGAGGAGGAGGAGAGCTCTCCAGACTTCCCCCCCCCCCGCACTCCTCCTGGGATTAGGGGGGGAATCTGCAGCGTGACAGCTTGGCCGCGCGTCAGCCCGCCCATGCATTCGCGGTCCAAGGCCCACGAACAAAGCGCGCAGCCTCTTGCAAGCATCAACTGTTCGCACGGCATCCAGCATCCTGGCTCTCTCTTCAGCGGAGTCGGGATGGAGCGTCACCCGGGAACCACCCCCTCCCCGTTGCCCAATCGGCGGCCAATCGCCCAGCGTCTTCTCCCCGCTATTTGCTTCGCTCGCCATCGGGAAATCAAACGCCGCGGTCCTGACTTGTTCTACAACGCGATCACGTCTGGTTGCCCCACTGTGCGGCGCTGCAGACGACACTGTGCTGCCCCGTCTGTGGGCCTGCCAGACCGCCAGCGAGTTGCGGAGATGAGCTCGTGGATGCTTCCCTGCTCACCCGAGCTGCTAGCGCCACGCCAGGCGAGCCTGGCATCTGCTCACCAGGGGTATCTTCCAGCAGCCAGGCGAGCCTGCACCAGGGCCTGCTGCTGGAGGAGGTCTGGAGGCGCAGTGGGCGGACAGCCCACCGCGTACGGCGGTCAACTTGGACGGGCTCGTCTCTTGTCGACGGTGCAGGCCTCAAGAGCCCCATTGTTGAGATGTCAAGGGCTGGCTGGGGGGGCGGCTGTGTATAGCAAGGAACGTCACTTGTTGTTCACTGTTTCGGGTGCCGTTCCCAGTTTTCCCCTCAGACCTCTCAGTCTGTTTAGTTTTGTGGGCTCTGGGCACCGACGAGCTCCTTCGTGGTCCTGAGGTGTTTTCAGATTGCGCCAACGTAGTGCTCGCGTTTATCTCTCCAGTGCGGTTGCAGGTCTAACATAAAAGCTGTACGCTGGATCCCTTTTGAATATGTCTACCAGTCTTCATTGACATGTTTACAATCTGGAACCCATGTCGTGGACGCTGATCAGCGCAGAGAGGATCAGCAAGGCAACGGCGAGGTAGATGCTGCAGCCAAGAGGGAAGCGTTGAGCCAGCCCAGAGCATCCACCATTGAGTTAACCGCGATCGACGACTAAATCGCAGTCGCCCGCAACGTGTATGCCCTAGCAGCCCGTCTCGTGCCAATGTGGCCAAGGCTGGATCTCGATAGTGTCTCTAGAAAGACCCCTCCTCTTCGTCAGAAAGTGTCGAATTCAACCGGTATACATCACGAGGGGCTGTCTGAAGAGCTTTTAGCACTGTTTGAAGAGCCGACATTGTGAGCAGAAACCTCTGAATAACGATTGCTCGGATGAGCTGCTCGCCGTTGCCCTCGAGAACGGGCAGCGACAACACTCGCTGAAAGCCTATTCCTGCACCGACGGAACGCTGCTTTATGCGTGCTCCAGATGCAAGGCGTTTGCGACAAGAGGACAGTTTCGCAATCTTGCCACATGTTGCCCTACAGTCGCGACAAGGATGCAAGGGCACGCCCATTCCGAAGCTTCTCGAGCGGAGTTCGGCCAGCAAAAGTAGCCAAGGATGGGCCGAAGGGGCAAGGATGCAAGAGTACCCTTGTATTGGGTCGGACATGTTTCCCTAAAGGTCGATGTTGGGCGAAAAATAAGAAAATTCAAAGATATGAAAGACATGCTGAAACTAATGCAAGCATCGCTCCCAGACGATTTTTCACGATTTTGGTATATTCCCACTGTAGAGGGACAGGCCCGAGTTAACCCTTGGGGAAGGTTGCCCATCCTTGCTATGCGGGTGGCCCGTACAGGCACTGTCTCAGGAATCTCTATATACATATATATGTGTGTATCTATATATATATATATATATATATGTGAAGGGGCCCTGGGACACACATAACTACACACAAATAACAGGATTCACCATATTTTTCCATAATGTATCGGTATTTGTCTTCCCCCCCCCACTTCCCATATTTTCCCATCTTTGCTGGGGGATCGACGGTTACTTGTGTCTGTGTTGTTCCCCTCGCTGTGCCGTCGCAGCTTGGACTGCGATCGCGAGGGGTGGGCACCCCCTAAGCTGGCCCGCGGACGGGTGGAGCCTCCTCTCCTCTTTGCCCCCGCTTGATTGTGGGCAGCGCGGCGCCGGTGACAAACAACAGCATCCCGCCCCTCCTCCAGCAACTCTTCCTCCTCCTCCTCCTCCTCCTCCTCCTCATCCTCCCTCCCCCCTCCTCCTCATCCCACTCTCCTCTCCTCCCTCCTCCCCCCCTCCCTCCTCCCCCCCTCCTCCTGCTCCTCCTCCTCCTCCTCCTCCATCCTCCTCCTCCTCCTCCTCCTCCTCCTCCTCCTCCTCCTCCTCCTCCTCCTCCTCCTCCTCCTCCTCTATCGAAATGACGCAACGCAGGATCGAGGATCGAGGACTCTGGGGCTCGAGCAGTCTGGGCCTCCTGACGTCGCGCATCGCGCCCACCGACCCTGCGCGTTTGCCGCGGCGCCCTCGCGCCCCCACGCCGCCCCCATTGGAACAGGGCGCCTGCGCAGGCCCAGGCCGCGGCGCGCACTAAGGTTAAGTCGGGCCCGTCCCATTACAGGGGGATTTTCCACGATAAATGAAAAAATACAAAAAAACAGACCCAAGAATGATCAAACCATACTTTAAACATAGTCCACATACATTTTTCACTATTTTGAAAATTCCCCCTGTAGAAGGACAAGCCCGATTTACCACTAAGGAAACCCCAGTCGTTCGCTGACCGCCCTCGGGCCCACCAAGGGCCCCCTGGAAGCAGAGAGGCGCCCCCAAACCAGATCAACCTCAGCACGTGGGTTGACGCACGCGTGTGCTTGTCTACTGGCGCCGTTAGATGCGACGCGAGCGGAGGAAACAATGAAATCCAACACAGGTTGCGTGCAATCGACGGAGCTGAAAGGGAGAATTCCCCCACCATCCAGCCCCCCCCACCCACCAACCTACCCACCCACCAACCATCGATTGTCATGAATCGATGGGAGGCGGGGGTGGGACTTAGATTTCGCAGCGTTTCGACGAATTCCTGACCCTACCCTCGCCGCCCATCGAGCTGCGTGAATCGTTGATCGGCAATGGTTCGCGCCGACGAATGGTACCACCCACCAATCCGCCCCCTTTTCCGACCCAGCGTCCTGTCTTGTTTGTATGGTCCTCTTCTTTCTAGACGGGGCCCACAAAGATCCCAACCCTTTCCCCCTGCGGTAACCGCTGTGACGTGCAACAATTGCAAGGTGGTTGCAACCCATTTGCAAGGCACCTACGAGTGGGCTTCAGGGCCGCACTGCTGCTCCAAGGTGGGCCAGCAACTTACTCAGGTTTACGGCAGTTCGGCGGGCGCGCAGTGACTGTGACTGTGATTTCCTCCTCTCGCCCCATCGGTCCTCCTCCTCCCCACCCCCGACCCCCGCCTCTTGCCTTCATGTTGCTTAATATGCATGGTTTGCAAGTTGATGCATGCGCAAAGCCAGAAGCAACTTTGCCAGCCGATGCGCCGTATGCGCGCCTGGCACACGTGGCGTGACGTGACGTGGGCGCAACCACCCTGCACCGGCTGCAACTGCCGCACTTTTTTTCCGTCTGCGGCGAGGCGGCGAACTCCGTTCCAGCGAGACGTTAGACAGGGGCACTAACTAGCGAATTGGCCGGCGGGCAAACAAGGGGGAGGGGGACGGCCGACAGGAAGAAGGGACGCTCAGACGCCGAAGACTTCGACGATGAGCAGCCGGGGGAGGCAGCAACACCCAGGCGCGCAGGGCCAGAGCGCGGTGGGCGGCCGTGGCGAGCCACGGCGGTAAGTTGCAGCTGCCGCGCATACAAAACCGGCTGCTGCAGCAGGGCCGGGGGGTGTTCCTCCCGTGCCGTGTTCCACGGCGGCCCCCGGGGGGCGCGGCGGAGGCCGCCGCAGGCCGCTGCACACTGCCGCAAGAAGGCCTCGGCCGTGCTCCTCCCACGGGGTGCGGCAGAGGAGTCGACCGAAGGGCCGATCCCCTCGAGTGCGTTTCTCTTTATGTTCGGCGAGCATGGGCATCGGGGGGCCGGGGGGGGGTATAACGCAACGCCTCCCCCCGGCCGTGAGCACGGCGGCAGTGCCCGGAGCGCACGGGGGGGGGGAGGGGCGTTACGTTCGTTATAGGGGCGGGGGGGAAGCGGGGGGAGGGGGCTGTAATGCCCGTTATGCCCGAAGCAATGAAAAAAAACACGCTCCTCCAGGGTATCGGTTGTGAAAAGGCAACTTCTAGGAGGTCTTCGTCGGAGAGACTTAAAAAAATCAAGCCCTATCGGGGGGCTGCTACGCCGGATTGGGCCGCGGATTAAGCGGGGATTAGGCCGGATTCAGTGGGCTTCAGCCGAACCAAGCGCAGCCCAGCGGGATAAAGTCGAATTTGGGACCAGGGCAGAATCAGAACTTTACCTCCCAGGCGATGCACACGAACGGTTGGTAAAGGCGGTAGCAACGAAGGAAAGACGATGGTGAAGGCTTTACCCTTCTCCACACGTCCTACCATCACGTATGCTTGTCGCCAGCACCTGCAAGCCGAAAAAAGGGGTAGCAGTACAGGAGAGAGTCGGGAAGGTGCGGGGATCAGCCACACACGACGCGAGCACTGCTGAGGGAACCAAAGAGCATCGATACGGCCACCGCTGCTCCGCAGACCTCTCCCTGTGGCGCGTTCTGTCCAGGATGTCGGGGCGAACCCAACGGTGGCGGCGAGGGCCTGCCAGGAGGCCCACACGGGCGAGCACGAGGTATAAAGGCAACGGGACAATAATCGACCTAAACAGTGCTTGTTCGTTTTCGTGTTGTTTCCGTTGTCCCTCGTTGTGTCTTCCATCCGCCCGAGCTGCAAAACGACATCGAAACGACAACGGCCCACAAAAACGCCCAAACACCGTTCAGGTCGACCCATGCAACGGGATGCGTATACATTTGGGGAAACCTACAAAAAATGCGGCCGCTTCTCCCTGGACGTCTCTTGGAGTGCGTTCTGACATGGATTTCGGGGCGAACCCCGTGGTGTCGACGAGGGCCCCCCCAGAGGCAACAAAAAAAACGAACACGAGCCGAGGGCAGCGGTATGGGTACTTCTTCCTCCTCCGAACAATTTGCCTCGTCTGAACGTCTGGGGGGTCTCCTTTGGACGCCCGACATGGATACGGGGGAAAATTGGCAATGCCCAACAACACATGTCGTCCAAAACCCAACAGCGGCCGCTGTTGGGCAGGCGGCCTTCTGCCTCGAATGAACGACGTCCGCGGCGACGCGGACAGGGAACCCTGTTCAACATGAGCAAGATGTCCTGTGGTCTTCGTCAGAGTGAGGGAGCCGAACGGTCATTCATTGTCCCTGGGTGCGTGGCTCTTGAGGAACCACGGTGCGGATTGTGCTTGTTGCTGTTGTTGTTGTTGTTGCTGTTGTTGTTATTGTTGTCGTTGTCGTTGTCGTTGCTGCTGTTGCTGCTGTTGTTGTTGTTGTTGTCGTTGTTGTTGTTGTTGTTGCTGTTGTTGTTTTTGTTGTTGTTTTCCGTACCCGTTTCGGTCGTGCCGCTCTCCTGCTTCGTCGACGCACGCCGCGCCCAGCGCGCCGCCGGGCGGCGGGGACACCGCGGCCCACCGGAACACGGACACGACCTCGGCAGCCGCAAGGGGCGCAGGGCGGGGCGCCCCGCCGATCCCCTTTGGGGGGGCACGCCGGACCGCCGCGCCGCGGCTGGCCCCAGACCTCCCGCCAGGGATCGGCCCAAACAGCGCTTTCGTGTTCGACCTGCTTTCGGCTGCGCTCGCTCCACTCTTGCGTCGAAGCTGCGTCGAACGTCCGTCGATTTGAACCGACCCTGGATCGAACCCACATCGAACTTGAGCCGGACTTGAGCCGAACTTGAGACGAGCTTGAGTCGAACGGGGGTCCAACAGATCCCTTAGGTGGGCCCCAGGAGGGTCCCCAGCACGGGCATCCAGCGACTGCGTCTCCGATTCACCTCTGCTGCGACAGGGACACAAGAATCGGGGATGGACAGACCTCCCTTTAGCACAACGTGGTTTAGCGAAAACGACCTGAGGCCCAAACCTGGCGGGCGCAAGTCTGGAAAATAACGGCCGCGGCGCCCTCTCGAGAACCGAAAACGGACAATTCACTAATCGACGTGTCACTGTTGGGGGTTCTGTCCACCACCGAAAGAAGCGACCACGGCCCACGAGGTCGCCCAGACGCCGCTCCCGTCGACCCCCCCCACGCCCCCCCCCCCCGAGAGAGCCCCGTCGATGTGGTTCCGCCGGCGGGCTCGCGCCGTGCAGGCGCCACGGCGGCACATGTCTGGCCATGTGTAACGGGGCCTAAGGACACACACGTAAATTAAATACGCACACATCCCAGGATTCCCCAGATTTTCGCATATATTTTGATTTTCGTCTTCCCCGCCACCTCCCATAATTTCCCATGTTGTTCTGGGGATCGACGATGAATTGTGTCTGCGTGTTTTTTGCCCCCTCCTGTGCCACGTTGGATCTTCTGGGGCCCCCGCCGGGCTCCAGGGCCGTCAGCAGTGGGCTGCGTCGGGGGGGTCAGAGGTGGAGGAGGAGGAGGAGGAGGAGGAGGAGGAGGAGGAGGAGGAGGAGGAGGAGGAGGAGGAGGAAGAGGAGGAGGAGGAGGAGGAGGAGGAGGGGGGGGCCATGAGCAGGTCAAGTCAAGGCGTCAGCTCAAAAAAAAACGGTATTTCGCCAGCCCCGCGCGCCGTGCCGCGCGAGGAGTGCCCCGAGCACGAGCCAATTCGCCGTTGCCGCTGCGCCCGTGCGCCGACGTTTACGATCACGTTGCGAACCGATCGGCTTCACCTTGCGATGCGCACCAACTGTTTCCTGCGTTGCGCGTTGCGGCGCGATCGTCTGCTTCGCCGCGCCTGCCTGCCGCCGCGATCGCCTGCCGCCGCGACCTCGGGGAACATCTCTCCACGCGGCGCGCCGTCCAGCTACTTGCAGCGTAGGCGCGGGGGGGGGGTGGTCGAGGGCGATCGGGAGGGGGAGGGGAAACGGGAATGGGACGAGGAGAGGGGCGCCGGGGAGCGGGAAGGGGCAGCGGGAAGAGAGAGAGAGAGAGAGAGAGACAGACGGAGGCGCAAGGAGAAACGCGCGAGAGGGAAGTGGGGGAAGCGGAGCAGGGGAGAGGGGAAGGGAGGGCGAGGGTGGAAGAAGGTGGGGGGGGGGCGAGGAGGGCGAGGCGAAGGGAGGGCGAGGGGAGGGGAGGGCGACGAGGGAGGGGAAGAAAGGAGAGGGGGCGGGAACAGCACGGGTCAAGGAAGGGCAAAAGCGGGACCCCAACACGGAAAGCGCGCCGACCGATGCGCCACCAACAGGAGGCGAGCCTCGAGCTGGTGGTCCAGTTCAAGGCAGCACGGGCCTGAGCACCAGCGCGCGAGGCCGAGCATGGCCATCCTGCCTTCACCGCCACGTGCGCCAGCCTCCGCAGCGCCGTATGCAGCAGGCATATGCGCACGTGTGCGGCGGGGGCGGGGGTGCGACGGGCGACAGACGAGGGGGCGGCTAAACGAGTTCAGTCGGAGCCCGAACTCGCGCGGTCCCGGGCGGGCTCGGGGCCGCGGGCTGCGCTGAGCAGCCTCGGGGAAACGGAAAACGCGTCGGAGCACCGCGCGTTCATCTTCGCCCTCGGGAGCAGCGGAAACATCGGCGCCGCTTTTGGGGGAAACATCCGCGCTCGAGACCCCGGACGAGCATCCGCCGGCTCGCTCTGGCGCTGGGGGTCCCAGGAGGGGCCTCGGTACACCTGCGCAGGAGGTGGCGCATCGAGTCGAGAGAACAATGGGCGCCGCACAGGCGGCAGTGGTGCACGCGCATACCGACGAACACGTCATTAGTGACCCATCGCTCGAAAGGTGGGACAAACATCAAAAACATCAACCGCCTCGCGCACGAGACTGGGTGGAGTTGGCGGGCCCTGGGCCGCGTCGGGGCCAGCCTGCTGTTGGGCCTCGGCGACCCCCGGGAGCAGCCCTCGCCGCCACAGCCTGACAGCGCCTCACGAGTAGCCCCGGAGTCCCCCAAGGCCAACGGTCGCGCACTTGCAGCTGGGAGAGGGGAGACGGTACCTGGCCTCCCTGTGGGCCATCATACTCCTCCCGAGAGGATCCGCCGCAGCGGCCACGCGGTCGCAGCACGTGTACTCGATGACGCAGGTGTCCGCGCGCCTAGACAGGGCGCGGCTGGCGACCGTGACGTTAGGAGGTGGCGGGAAGCGCCAGGAGGCAGAGGGAGCGAGCGGGACCCGCCGCCGGTCACGACCTGGCCCGGAGCAGCATCGGGGCAGCCCCAGGCCCAAGCAGATATAATCGACCTGTGAGACCTCTCAACCTGCCCGAAGTGGCAAGGCCAGAACACTCACGCCAGTGGCGCGTGCGCCACCCCGCATGCTGGCGCAAACATCGGCCAAAGAGGCCCGCGCCCAAGCTCTGCCGCGCGGGCCGCGCTCCAGAGCCTCGTCCAGGCTCGAGCGCGCGGGACGGCCACGACACCGGGCGGCGGGGGAAACGAAGGCGGAGGAGGAGGAGGAGGAGGAGGAGGAGGAGGAGGAGGAGAGGGGGGAGGAGAGGGAGGGAGGGAGGGAGGGAGGGAGGGAGGAGGGAGGGAGGGAGGGAGGGAGGGAGGGGAGGGAGGGAGGGAGGAGGGAGAGGAGGGAGGAGGAGGGGAGGAGGAGGAGGAGGAGGAGGAGGAGGAGGAGGAGGAGTAGGAGGAGGAGGGGAGGAGGAGGAGCGGAGGAGGAGGAGGAAGAGGAGGAGGAGGAGGAGGAGGAGGAGGAGGAGGAGGAGGAGGGGAAGCCGGGACAGGCACGGCCCTCCAGAGCACGAGAACGGCGCCCCTGCACCGGACCATAGCCTGGATGCTCTTCGGTGCCCCGCTCCCGCGCGGAATACGGTGCACAATCTCTCTCTCTCTCTCTCGGCCCCGGAGGCCGAGCAACACTGTGCACCGTGCCGTTCTTGGGTCGAGGATTAGACGACGCCCGGGGAGACGCCCAAGCGGCGCGGTGCACACAGGCCGCCCGCAGACCAGAAGGCAGCACGTGTGGCAGCAGGTCGGGGCGCCAGTAGCTCCCTTCGCGCGCCGCCGCCTGGGGAGCGAGAGAGTCCACTGGTGCCCTGCGTGCCTGGCCAAGCCTTGGCGCGCGGTCCAACGTCGGCCCGGCCAACCGTCTGCCGTTCGCCTGACAGCGGCTGGCGAACCGTCCTAGCAAGAAGCAGGCAGCCATGCCCATCGGCCGGACGAAGTAGGTCGAAGCATGAAGTAGGCAGGCGTTGGAAGTAGATTGGGTCTCCGTCCGACCCCTGAAGAGGAGGGAAAGAAGGGAAGCCACTCGATCATTAAAGTAGGAAGGCGCTGAAAGTACATTGGAATCTGGGATTCCAGAAATATCTACTTTCAACGACCGATGGTCGAAATTGGGCGACACTCCAGCCAGCGCGAAAAATTCAAATATGCTGGAGCGGTAACACACCCCGGCCGCGAAGGACTCGACCCCACACAACCAAGAATGCCACCGAACCCAAAAACCTACGGGTGGCCCCCAGGGGCCCGGGGGCCGGAGGGCAGAGGCGGAGTGCCGTGCGTTGAACAGGTCGACGCCACATCGGGCGGGCCCAGAGCAGAAAACGAGGAATCAAACGGAACACGCCCACGGTTGGCGATGGCCTGAGAGTCGACTCCGCCGTCATTGATGATGCCGGATGCGGCCGTAGGTCCCACGGAGTGCGGAGCAGGCCCGACATTCAGGCAGCGCGTCGCAGTGCCACTCCGCCGGGGCTGCCGGAAGAGGCACCACGCTGCCCCAAACCGCCGCCAGCGCACCAATGCCCCGCGTGGACTTTTGACCGCGCGAACGCGTGTCTGAGCGACGTACACCACGGGCTACCTTCCGGCGGGTCGGCACAAACCATTTGCCGCTGTCCCCCGACGGGGGCATTCTGGGCCGAGAGCGAAACGTACTCGAGCAACAATGCTCCAGACACGCGCAGCAAATAGTTAAAGCCAGTCGTCCCAAGATTATTGTTTGACTGTGTCGCGGCTGAGCCAATGTCAACGGGAACGCGCCCCGCGCGGGATCGGGGTTCGCGCGGGGGCGCGGCTGCTCTCGCGTGTCCAGGGGGCATGCATTGTCGCGCCCTTCCAGCATTGCGTTTGCGCTGCATTCGCGCGGCGCCGTGCCTCTCAAATCGGAATAAGCTTTCGGAGCGCCGATGTATTATTGTTTGACTCTGTTTGAACACCCCCCCTGTGGAGGGACCGGCCCGACGTTAAAATACAGCTGTGCAAGGCCGCGCCGCGCCGCCGACCGGCGGGCCTAGCCGAGCCGAGCCTGCCGAGCAGGTCTGTCTGGTGCAGCGTGTCCTGCCGGGTTGTCCAGGCTCGCCTCGGGCCTGTGCCTCTACCAGGAGGAATACTGAAGAGTAGTCAAAAAAGTAGTCTGGGGACGATTGGTTAACTATCTTTGCCCGTGTGGGGACGTCTTGTTTGAATAGTTCTTATTATTCGCCCAAGATCCTCCTGTAGGGGGACACGCGCGACTTAACCTCAGCATCGTGTAGCCTATCTCGAAGAATCCACAAACAGCTGCAAGGCCCAAGAGAGCTGCTGCACGCGCCCACTTCCCACGTGAAGAAGCAGCGCCTTGGACCGCCGCCTCCAAGGTAGCGTCCTAGATCGGGTCGCACATCAGGGCGGACTGCGTCAGCAGCTATGGTGTAACTCCATCGTGCCTCTCAGATTCGGCGTCCGGGTTTTCTTCACTGTGTGCATCATCAGGCAAGGCTCTGCCAGCAAGATCCAACGGCAGCGGCCGCCAGCTGCCTTGAATGCTGGAGGCGCGCCGGAAACTCCTGTTACCGCACCTCCGTGGCCGCCAGCTGGGAAGGCGCCCGTGCGCCGCAACCTCGTCGCACGCCTCTCCGCTGCACGCTTGAGCGCTAGGTACTTGCGCCGACGACTCTGCAGCGCCTCGATTCTCTGATTATTTTCTCGAGTACGCCTGACTCTGCCAGCAGCAAACTACACCCTGCGAAATGCTTAAGAAATCATGGGTTAAGAAATTCATAGTCTCAGAATTCGAATAAAAACCATAATTTCTATAACAGTCTTAGGATTTGCATTGAAACATTAAGAATAATCGAGACTCTGGCCGAAAACGAAAGCTTTCTTTAGCAACGCCTAGGGCCTAGGGTGTATGGCAGGTAACCACGCCCCTTCGAGGATATCTGAGCGAGCGAACCCTTAGAACAGCCTGCCGAGGTCCGACGTCCCCGAAGATCGATGCCCCAGGGGGTGGTCATGGTCCAATCCCCGCCTCGGAGTCTGGGAAATGCGAGCATGCCCCAGGATCGTCCCGACCGCTTTCCCTGGGGTACTTTCCCGGCCCGACTCATTTTGGACAGCCCGGGCGCACGAACCCTGGATGCCGAAACCAAAGAAAAACACACTGGGTGGAAGCATCACTTGGCCCGACGATCCACACCCGCACGCGAGGTGGGATCACGTGCACACTTTGGACCTGGCAGCCGCGGCAGCCGTTGTTCGTCGGAGGCGCGAGGCGGGACAGCCAGGGATCACCAGCACGCCCTAGGCCTGCCGGCCGCGGCCCGCAGGGCGTGCGGGGAGGGCCGGGGCCTCTGAGGTGCAATCTGGCGACCCCCCACACACAAAAATTCGGGCGAGGACCAAGACGTGCGACGACTCGATTTTCACAAGGCGGTGCCCCTGGATTCCCAAGCCTTGACCCAGTCCCCAGTTTTTCGTCCAGAGTAGTTCTCTGGCGGTCCCGGGGCCCGGCGAGGGCCCCCGGAGGCCCAAAACGGCCAAACCCTTCCGTTGTTAGTTGTTCACGCCGCACATCGGGAGCTCTTTGAAACACAAGAACCCCACACTGCCCGCTGAGCGAAAACCAGGTCGCCGAAGATAACGTGTCCCTACCGAGGGTGCACCAAACGAGCGAGCGCTGGCCAGTCGAGGTGCAGCCGAGGCGGCGGCCGAGGAGCAGGTGCACGCCAGCGACGCGCAGTCCTTCAGGCTCAGCCGGAAGGCCAGCTCGAAGGCGGGCGCGTCGAGGCCTCGGTGCGCCCAAGGGCATGTTTTTGTTGGAGCGCTATGCTCAGGTCGGGCCTGTCTCCCTACACGGGGGTTCTGGGCGACGAAAAGGAAAAATACTCTGAACATACTCCCAAAATGCTCAAACAAATAATCGAAACATCGTCCCCAGACTATGTTTGGACTGTTCTTGAGTATCCCTCCTGTAGAGGGGCAGGCCCGACTAGACGCTATTCTGGGACAAGGGGGAGGGAAGCTGAGCGGAACGACAGGCGCGGAGCATAACGTCTTGTGCGTGAGATCATAATGCCCCCAAGCTATGAAAATGTTCGGGGGTCTGGCGGGGATGATCGACGATTTTCCCGGGGAGGGTGATGTGAGCTAGAAGGTATGATGATGATGATGATGATCATGATGACGACGACGATGATGCTGATGACGGCCATGATGATGATGATGATGATGATGATGATGATGATGATGATGATGATGATGATGATGATGATGATGGATGGTGACGATGATGATGATGCTGATGATGACAACGACGATGATGATGATGGTGATGATGATGATGCTGATGATGATGACGATGCTGATGATGACTATGATGATGATGATGATGATGATGATGATGATGATGATGATGATGCTGCTGATGATGATGATGATGATGATGATGACGATGATCATGATGACGGTGATCCTGGGCGCTCGTGATGGAGGAGCTCCCCTGGCCGCGGCGAGCCGCGGCCGCACAAAAGGCTCTCTCCGCGACCTCGCTCGAGCCCAGGAGCGGTCCGCAAGCCAGCGGCCTCAGGGCAGAGGCCTCCTGCGGTCGGGCTTGCCTGGGCAGGACACAAAGACCCTTCCGCAGGGGCTCCCAACTTCGCGCGTCGCGCTGCGCGAAGCGCGAGGTGCGAACAACTTCGCGCTCTCGCGCCTTCTCCCAGGGGAGAAGAGGAGGATGAGGAGGCATCGGCGCCGAACCGCGAAGCGCGAATAACTTCGCGCCCTCGAGGCCGCCCTTGCTTCCGAGAGCCACATTGCCACGGGAATGCAGGAAGCATGGGTCGCGAGACACAGGACACAAGGGTACCCCGACCTCGATCGAACTGACGAACGGTCCGCAATCCGGAGCCTTCAAGCAGAGGCCTCCTGCGGTCGGGCTTGACTGGAGAGGACACGCGAGAGAACATAAGACCCTTCCGAGGGCCACATTGCCACAGGAATATCGGAGGCGTGGGTCGCGAGACACAGGACACGGAAACACCCTTGATTTGGCAAGGTCGACCTACTAATCCGGACCGACAGTAGATGGGATCGGAGTTGACGGGGTCGAAGAATCGCGCCGCACCGGCGATGCATCGGCGATGCGCTGGCGGCGTCGGCGGTGCATTGGTGACGTCAGCGTGGAGAAAATTGGGCCCCACATCGAGCCACATCGCCGATGCATCGCCGATGCATCGCCGATGCATCAGCGATGCGGCGCGATCCTCCGACCCCATCTACTCCGACCCCACCTGGGAGGCCTAGATCAGAGCCCCGAATCATCAGGGCTGACTCGGGTCAGGGCCGACTCGGGCTCGTCTCTGTCGGGGATCCAAGCCCCGAGCAGTGCCCCCGGCCCGAGCTTCCCCAGATAGTTCGGGCGCCCATAGCTCCAAGTCCTCAGGGGTGACTCGGGTCAGGGCTAACTCGGGTTCGTCCCTCGGAGCCCAAGCCCGAGTTCCCCCGGGCCCGAGTTTCCCCGGATAACTCGGGCGCCCAAACAGCCCCTCCTGAGCCCGAAGCGGTCCTTCTTTCGGCGTCTTGACTGTACGGCAAACGTATCGCTCAGACGGTGCACCCAGCCAACTCCGCAGGCTCTTCTGCAGACGTGGCCGAAGCTTCGGCCGACCACGGTGTGCGGGCCGAATATGGAGGAAGCGGGTCTCAGAGGCTCAGAGGGGAGAAAGGTACCAATGCCGCCACCCCTTCCTCGTGTTCGCCCTCTTGGGCCTCCTGGGAGGCCCTCGTCACCACGGCTGGATTCGCCTCGAAATCTAGTCACGACGCACCCGGGCAGAGGTCTGGGGAATAGCGGTACCAGTACCGTTCTGTGTCCCCCAGGTCATGAAGAGCCAAAATCGGTAGTAAAACGTGGAGTAGTGACAACGACCACGGGCCCAAACCTGGCGGGCGCAAGCCTGGAAAATGACGGCCGCGGCGCCCTCCCGAGAACCGAAAACGGACAATTCATTAATCGACGGGTCAGGGTGGGGGTTCTGTCCACCCCGGACAAAAGGCCTTGGAGACTCTTCGCCGTCTCGGGACCCCTGGTCGACTACACTCAAGAGTGGCCCTTGGCAAGAGTGACCTTTGGTGCCCGGCTGATGGGGGGCGCGGGGAGGACAAACCTCAGCGCGCTGGCCGCTGCTATCGCACCGCGCTCAGCGAACGGGGGGATCGCACCGAGCCCGCACCAAAGGTCACTCCAGCGAAAGGTCACTCTTACCAGTAGTGGACCTGGTCACTCGGGGTGGAAGCCGTCCGAACCGTACCATCACATATGGCTCAGGTGGATCGCAGGGCAGCGCCGACGCATCGGTGACGTCGGGAGAAGAATGTCGGGCTCAAGTCGCGCCAGATCGCCGATGCATCGGCGATGCGGCCCGATTATCCGACCGCATCGGCTCTGAGGGGGAACGTTAGTCGGGGGCGCGCATACATGGATTAGCGATCCATGGATTTGGCGCGCGGTCGCCGAATCCATGGATCGGGGGAGGTGCCCTCCCCAAAACGCGGGCGGTGCCGCCTCGCTCGGCGGCGGACATGCGCGATTCCCCATGGAAGCGGGACCCGTCGCTAATCCACGCCCTCTTGATCCATGTTTGCGATCGCCTGAGGTAAGGGGGACTGGCTCAGGGGCGGAAGCATCGTGCTGGAGACGGCGATGCATCGCCAACAGATCGGCGATGGGCCCGCGATGGCGAGATCGCACCTCCCTGGGGCGGCGTGTGCCGTCGGGCCCTCGCCTGCGATGAGTGGGCGGTCGATATGTCCCTCCCTTGGCCTGTTCCGCCCGAGGATCCTCGCCGCCTTGCTCTGCACGCTTGCCCGCGCGGGCGACGCGCGGGCAAGAACGACTGGCCCTCCATGGCCGCCAACATGTTTGCGATTGCCTGAGTTAGGGGGCACTGGTTCAGCGGCGGAAACATCGTGCGAATCCACGCCCCGTTGATCCATGTTTGCGATCGCCCGACCTCCTGTCGGGAGCGGCCAAGAGGGGGTTGTCCAAGAGGGGGGGGTGCAAATCATGACCAGCGGCATGTGCCCGGCCCAGCGGGGGGGCCTGGGACGTAATGAAATAATAAGGGGCGCCATGAAATCTGGGGTAATATCATGGCCCGCGCCATGATATCCACCCCCCCCTAGTCATCACCCCCCTCTTTTCCGCCCCCGATACTGCCAGCCGAAAAGACTTGGTGCGCCAGGCCCCTGGCCGAGGGACACGTCCTTCTGCGCCCCAGCGCCCTGCATGGCCGGCGGCCGGCCGCGGGGAAAATCTGCGCCTCCGCTGCCCCCAGCGGGGGGCCCCTGGCGCTGGGACTAGGTCGGGCCTGTCCCCCAAGAGGCGGACTTTGGGCGAACAAACTAAAATAGTCAAAACATTCTGCAAAATATTTATGAACAAAACCGTCCCCAGATGATTTTTCATTATTTTTGAACTTCCCCTTGTAGAGGGACAGGCCCGACTTAACGCTGGGAGAAGGCGCGCCCGCCGGGCTTGGCCACGGCCCCCGCGGGCGGCAGGCGGGAGGGTGGCCCCAGACCCAAGGGGGTCCCGGGACGGTGCGGTGCCAGACGGGGGTCTCCGGGGGCTCCTCCTCCTCCTCCTCCTCCTCCTCCTCCTCCTCCTCCTCCTCCTCCTCCTCCTCCTCCTCCTCCTCCTCCTCGACATCCTCCTCCTCCTCCTCCTCCTCTCCTCCTCCTCACCTCCTCCTCTCCTCCTCCTCCTCCTCCTCCCCTCCTCCGCGAGATCCTCCTCCTCCCCCCTCCTCCTCATCCTCCTCCTCCTCCCCTCCTCCTCCTCTCCTCCTCCGTCCACCTCCTCCTCCTCCTGCTCCTTTCTCCTCCTCCTCCTCCTCCTTCTCCTCCTCCTCCTCCTCCTCCTCCTCCGCGAGATCCTCCTCCTCTCCTCCACCCTCCACCTCCTCCTCCTCCTCCTCCTCCTCCTCCTCTCCTCCGCCCCCTCCCCCCCCCTCCTTCCCCGACCATCCCCCTCCTCGTCTCCTCCTCCCCTCCTTCCTCCTGAGGATCCTCCTCCTCCTCCTCCTCCTCCTCCTCCTCCTCCTCTCGTCCTCTCTCCTCCTCCTCCCTCCTCCTCCTCCTCCCCTCCCCCCTCTTCCTCCTCCGCCTCCTCCTCCTCCTCTCTCCTCCTGCTCCTCCTCTGCTCCTCCTCCCCTCCTCCTCCTCTCCTCCTCCTCCTCTCCTCCTCCTCCTCCTCCTCCTCCTCCTCCTCCTCTTCCTCCTCCTCCTCCTCCCTGCTCCTCCGCGAGATACTCCTCCTCCTCCTCCTCCTCCTCCTCCTCCTCCTCCTCCTCTCCTCCTCCTCCTCCTCCTCCTCCTCCTCCTCCTCCTCCTCCTCCTCTCCTTATCTTCCTCCTCCTTATCCTCCTCCTCCTCCTCCTCCTCCTCCTCCTCCTCCTCCTCCTCCTCCTCCTCCTCCTCCTCCTCCTCCTCCCTGCTCCTCCTCCTCCTTCCCCTGGGAGAGGGCCCCAGCCTCCAACTTCCCAGCACTCCCAAAAGACCTCTGTACAGGGCGCTCTTAGAGATACGTTGGGCTCCGCTGGGCCTCCTCGGATGCCTCATCGATCCTCGAGCAGGCCCCGATGAGCTTTTGTGAGCTCTTAGAGATACGTTGGGCTCAGTTGGGTCTCCTCGGATACCTCCTCAGCCATCGAGCAGGCCCCGGTGAGCTCTTGTGGCGAAACATGTTCAGCGTAGCATCCTTAGTGTAAGCCTCCTAGGAGCCTCGACCATCGATCCTCGATCCTCGGTCCGTCGCCGCATGGTATGAGGCCCTTGGAGGCCCCAGTCCCATGAGACATCCTCAGAGAAACGACCCAAGTTCCAAAACCGCGCGGTCGCCTCGAACCCCTGCTGACTCCCCACACGGTGTGGTCACCGCCCCCACTGGGGGCCCCCGAGGCCCGAGGCTCTCCACGAAGGCTACGAGAAATTGCACCGGGTCACTTCTCGGGCCGCCCTTGGACCGATATATCTCAATTCTGCGACTGCCTGATGGCCCCCTTCCTGACGGGCCGGGCTTCTCATCCCCACCCGCTGTGCTGACGAACTAAGGCCGTCCGGCGAGGCACCCCAGAGACAGACCAGGGCCAACAGACCTTTCGCCGTGACTTTTGCCAGGACGCGACGAGGTCTGTGGTGGGAAGGGGAAGAAGGAGTAGGAGTAGGAGGAGGAGGAGGCGGAGGAGGAGGCGGAGGAGGAGGAGGGAGGAGGGAGGAGGGAGGAGGGAGGGAGGAGGGAGGAGGGAACAGGAGGAGTAAGAGAGGAGGAGTCCAAGGGCGTCGAATGCAGACGAGGACGAGGACGAGGAGCTCCCCGCTTCGACCACGGCTGTGTCCCCAGGAGCCGATCCCTGGGCGACAGCCGAACGCCTCCGAGGACCGCCGCGCCTCGACCGTGTTTTCCTGCGGCAGCGGTCCGGCACTCCGTGGCTCCCAAGAGCACCTTTGACCTCCCGCCCCCCTCAGCCTCTTCCTCGCTGTCGTCGTCCTCCTCCTCCTCCTCCTCCCTCCTTCTCCTCCTCCTCCTCCTCCTCCTCCTCTTCCTCCTTCTCATCCTTCTGAACCTCCTCCTCCTCCTCCTCCTCCTCCTCCTCCTGGGTATCCTCGTTCCTCCCTCCTCCCATCCTCGATCCCTCTCCAGTGTCCGCAGCCCCGTCTCCACTCCTCGTCCGTTCTCCACCTCCTTCCTCTCCTCCGTGCTCCTCCTCCTCCCCGCGCCCTCCCTCCGAAGCCCCGAATCAGAAAGAACGAGGATGGAGGACGAAGGAGCCTCAAAGATCCGACACCGCGGCAGAAGAAAAACAAAATCACCGACGTCATGGGGATCGGGGATGGATTGGGGGAGGCGCGATGCTTGGCGGCGGGCCCCTCTGATTTCCGCCCCTGGCGCCCGGCTTGTCGTCGCGCGCGCAGCGGGCCAGCTCGAGCTTGAGTGGCAACTCCGAGCCGAAAGGGGCGGGGACGTGGGCACTGGCAAGCGTGGCCCAAATAGGCTGAGGCAGCGTTGGAGAGATCGCGGGCCGGGAGGGAGGCATAACTCGAGACCGACCGAATCTACATCGCCGTCAGTCGGAGCAACTCGTTCCAACCTTGGATGCACATTGGCAGCCTTGGCTGGATACTTTTTATGATCTAGATCCTAGGAGGTCGAGGAGGGACGGCCACGAGAAAACTCCGCGTCGGAACGCACCAAACGTACTCGAAACGGTCACCCGACCATCGCCGGGACACCCCCCCACTGTCATGGACGGCGAAGCGTCATGAGGACAGGGATACGGAAACAGAAACACATCCTGGACAAGACTGGAGACACAGGATTCGGAAGTGGAGCCCGGAGCAGAACTTGCCCAATGGAGGCTGGCTCATGGTGAGCGTTGTCGTATTCGGCGTCTCGACACTGGGCGGGAGGGAGAGAGGAGGGTGGGTGTGTGGCTCCAGACCTCTGCTTAGCGCGTCTGTTTGCAACAGTGCGTCCTATGGGGGAGACCCCATCTGCTCGAAACAGGCGCCAAGAACAGCTAAGATCTACTCCATGAGGGGGAGGGTCACAAAAAAAGCTAAGATCTACTCCATGGGGGGGGGAAGGGGATACGAAGGCCGCGCCAGTCGGCAACGCAACGAACAAGAAACCGCTCACATAGACCATGCGCATGTGTACCGTGTGCGGCGCTACGTAGCATAGAAGCTCCATAACCTTGCCAGATGCCTTGTCCACCGGCAGGTACCCGAGCATGTGTACCGGGGGGGGGGGGGGGGGGGCGAACGGTCTAGGGGGGGCGGCGTTTGGGGAGGGGGGGGGCGGAAGCAAGGAACACCAGCAACATGGGATATGTCGACCCCCATGGAGGTGTTCGAGTGGACCAAACATTTGGGGTCCAACCCTGGGATATACGATGGTGAGGCGTCCATCCTCGATAGGGGGGCGTCCGATTGTATCCCCGAGGACCCCCCCCCCCTTTCTGAGCCTTTCCATTTTTCGTCGCAAAGTTGGGTGTGGGGGGAGAAGAATCGCCTGGAAGAGAACACCAGGTCTTCGGGCCCCTGCAGCGCCCCAATCTGGCCGAGACCGGTGCCGACCAGTCGAGTCCGTGTTGGCCCTGGACCACTGAAATTTGGTATGGAGCAAGCCGGCCCCCAAGACCAAAGAGCCGTCCTGCTGTTTGGTCTGGCAGTCCCAAGAGGGCCCCGCGAGGCCAGCACGCAGACGGAGCTCAAGACCCGCTTCCCGCAGGACACCTGCCCTCGATGGCGATGCTTGACGGTCTGGGGGCCCCGAGCGCCGAGTCGACGGAAGCCGTGGTGTGCTGGGCGACGAGCACCGGACTGCTCGGATCGCTGCGTCGACCGGGAGCGCGGACCCCTTCAAAGGCATTCGGTCGTCTCGAGGGGCCCCCCGAGGTCCCCAGAGACCTCGGCCCCCGGGAGTCCACACGCACACACATGTACGTGTGTATACATATGTACAAGTATATACGCACACGCAAAATCTTACAGTAATTGTGCCGTGCGGTTTTACACCATCCCTAGGTGCGTGCCTGAGGTGGGCTTCCGCGGTGAGCCATGTCATTGCCGATTGTGTGGCTGTTTGCTGTTGACGTCGTCCTCGCTCGTGACCCGCCCACGAGCAACACGCGGCCCGCCCGCAACTCGTCCGCGACCTATTGGCGCCTGGGGCGGGCTCGGTGTGCAGTGTGCAGAAAATCAAGGCCTGCTGAACGCTTCTTCAGAACCTCGCAGACTGCCGACAATCCCACCGCCCCCTCACTCTTGTCCGCAACTGCGCGGGCTTACATACACACGACATATACGTAACGCCCCGCACTTGCGGATAAGAGTGGGGAGGCGGCAGGAACGTGAGCAGTCTGCGAGGCTCTGATGAAGTCCGCCGCAGGCGCCGAATTCCCACAAATTATACAACGAGCCCGCTGCAGGCGCTGATTTTTTCGTTAAAGCAATGTGGTTGGCTCGCGTGTGAGTCGCGGGCGGGTCGCGGGGGGGGCGCGGGTGGGCGGCGGGGACGTCGGCAGTCTGCGGGAATCTGAAGAAACCCGCCGCAGGCGCCGAATTTCCAAATTATGCAACGAGCCCGGCGCAGGCGCTGATTTTTTGTTAAATCAATGTGAATGGTTCGCGGGTGGGTCGCGGGCCGGGTCGCGGGTGGGTCGCGGTTGTGCCGTGGGTGGGTCGTGGTTGTTATTGCTGTTGCTGCCCTGGCAATTGTCATCGTACCCATCCGCGACCCACCCGCGCCACCCGCGCCCCACCCGCGGCCCGCCCGCGACCGCCCAACGACCCACCCGCGACCCACCCGCGACCCACACGCGTCCCACCTCTCGACCCGACCCGGCCCGCAACCCACCCGCGACCCACCAGCGACCCACCTGCGACCCCACCTGCGACCCACCCACATTGCTTCAACCCACAAAAAAATCGGCGTCTGCGGCGGGCTCACAGCACTATCCCACCAACGCTTTCGGGCGTAGTCTAGGGTGTTTTGTCTTCCAGCTGCCACTCTTCCCCCTCGGGGGTTGATTGTTGTTCCCTATTCAGAAACACTCTCTCCCCCACTTGGCTGGCAGCCAACCCAGAAACAACCATCCCTGTCAAAAACAATACAAAATGCACATTGCGGGACCCACCCTGCCAACACCCCCCACAATCCAAGAACCAAGTGCACATTGCAGCAAAATCTGGACATTGCGCTGGCGCCCTGTGAGCACGTTATATTCTTCTTTGAAAGGGATGGCGGGGCACCCTTACTGAAGCCGCTTAGTGCAGGACGACCATCCGCGTCAAAAGCAATGCAAAGTGCACGTTGCGTCAACGTCGTGGGTATTGTGCTAGCCACCCGCGATCACGTTGTATTGTTTTTGGATAGGGACGGCGGTGGTGCCCGCATGATGATGCTCGGCACAAAACCGCCCCAGAGGCCCCCAAGAGGCCTCCAAGGCGGCCCAAGAAGCCTCCAAGAGGCCCTCCAGGAGGGCCGATTCTCCAGTGGTATCTGACAAATGTTGGCGTTTGCTTCTTTGCGGCCCTCCGACGGCCCCAACCGGTCCGAGATGCTCCCAAGGTTGCCCCAAAATCTCCTCTTAAGGGCTCCGAGATGGCCTGGGCACGGCCCAAAAGGCTTCCACGACGGCCCCCAAAGGGCCCCAAGACGGCCCAGGGCCCAGGAGACATCCAAAACGCACAATATTGGGGAAACCAAAAGGTACCGATACCGCTACTCCCCGACCTCTCCTGGGGTGCGTTCTGATCAGAATTTCGAGGCGAATCCAGGGGTGGCGACCAGGGCCTCCCAGGAGACCCCAAAAGGGGAAAACGGGCGAGGGGGTTGAGGTAGGGGTAGGGGTACCTGTTCCTCCTCTGAAAGATGGCCTCAAAGACGACCCCGAGGCGCCTCGAGAAGGCCCCAAGAGACACTCTCAAGACGGCTTCCGCCGGTGCCAAACGGGCCGCCTTCACCGTCGTCGACGCCGCGCGCCGCTGCCGTCGCCGTGACCGACGACGACCGCGCGGTCGTCATCGCCGCCGCCGCCGCCGCCGTCGTCGTCGTCGTCGTCGTCGTCGTCGTCGTCGTCGTCGTCGTCGTCGCCCTCGTCGTCGACCTCGCCCTCGTCCTCGTCGTCCTCGTCGGCGTCGTCGACCTCGTCGTCGTCGTCCTCGTCGACCTCGTCGTCGCCGCCGCCATCGATCTCATCGTCCTTGTCCTCGTCGACCTCGTCGACCTCGTCGTCGTCGTCGTCGTCGTCGTCGTCGTCGTCGTCGTCGTCGCAGTAGACGTCGCCGGCGGGGTCGTCGGCGGCGGCCAGCGCCGCGGCGCGGCGGCGGTTGCACCTGCAGCCTGCGCAGCAGCTCCAGCCGCCTAGCCGTGGAGCTGCAGGGCCGCGAGGGGTTCGGCGCGGGGCACGCGGCCTGGGCGGCGCCGTGGCGATCGACCGCAGCACGCAGGGCGGGGTGCCGAACTTCGGCGGTGAAGTCTGAGCAACAGGGGGCATGTCGACCACTATCCCTGGCTTCGTGGTGTCTTCGGATGGAACAAAGGTTTTTTCGGCCCAGCGCTGGGATCTGAGATGGGGTGGCGTCCATCCTCGATAGGGGTGCGTCCGGATAGCCTCCGTTGGGTGCATCCCGGGGTCTCCCTCCTGTTTCGAGCGGCTTCATTGCTCGTCGAAGTGTCGCGGGGTTTGGGGAGGCACAGCGCCTGCGACCGAACCCTGCCCTCAGCGATTGACGAATCAGGCAACTCGATGGGCGGCGGGGGCAGCGATCGGAATGCGTCGAACACGTTGCGAAATCCGAGCCCTATCCCCGCCTCCCATCGACTTAGGAGAGTCCACGGCTGGTGAGGGTCACCACCTGGAATTGATGAACTGTGCTGCGTCGTGCGGCACTCGGGAATTTGGGGGGCAAACGAACCTACCTCGCTTTTGACCGCCCTCGCTTCCGAGAGCTACCGAGCGATGCCAAACTACGGCCTGCCCTGGTGAGGCCGCTCGACGGGGAGGCGCGTGGTATGACTTGGCGTTGCCTGGAAGCGAAGGCGGGGCAGGCAATCCGCGCTCGGGGAATCATGGCAAAACCGCCCGCTCTGCTCGACGATGCCGCCTTCCGCCGCCGGCGCCCGGCAGACCGTGCTGCGCGGCGGCGGGAGGCGGAGGCGGCACGGGGAGGGCAGGGAGGCACGCGGCCAGCAGAGGACGGCGCTCGCGCGGGCGGGAGGCCGAGGCTGGCCGGACGAAGCAGGCGGTCGGGCAGGCGGGAAGTGTTTTTGAGCTCAACGCCCGCACAGCCTTGGTGAACACAGCAGCGGCGGCTGGGACAGCGCTGCTGGCAGTGAGGGAGACCTCACTGAGCAGGCAGGAGGCGGGTCCTCTTCGGAGGCGAGGGGCCCTGGGCGTGCGGGGCCCCCCCTCTCTGGGCCCCCGGGGCCCTCCGCGGGCCCCGGGGCGGTCCACGCAGGAACGAACGGCCGAGTCCCGAGGAGAAGGCCCGGGGGTCCACCTCAGTGGTCGGTTCGACTTGCAAGTCCGCCGAACTGCTCTGACTGCTCTGAGTGCGGGTGCTCCGCCTGGCTGCTCTCCAAGTCTGAGCGGACCCCACCAGAAGCAGACGGACTTGCAACCCACTGGCAAGTGCCCTGCAAGTGGGTTGCAACCACCTTGCAACTGCTGCCAGTCACAACGATCACTGCAGTGGGACCCGTTCTCCTCAGGACCCTATTTTCGGCGGTGGACAAATCTCCCTTTCGTAAACCACTCTTTCATGAAAACGGCCTAGAACCGAAACCGACGGACCTGGACCCGCAAAAATGACGGCCGTGACGCCCTCTCGCGAACCGAAACCGGCCAATTCACTAATCGACGTGTAGGAGGTCTATCAACCTCAGATTTTTCCTGGATGGGGGCAACTAGAAGCCGCCCCGATGGAGCCCGCACCGACGCGCCGATGCATCGGCGACGCATCGGTGACGTCGGGGCGGAGAAGTTCGGCGCGTCGCGTTTTTCCGTTGATCCTCTCCGCTGCGGTACCCTGTTGGGGCGGCATGCATCACAGCGAGGTCACATCGGCTCGGCCCATCACGCTACATACCTGAAGCCACCGACCCTGTGGGCGTGTGTGAGGGGGGGTTCTGGGCTGGTCGCACGGGGGTGGTCCTGGGAGGTGATCTTTGAGTCGGCGTTCTTGCTCTTTTCCCAGCGGCCATCTGTGGCTCTCCAAGCTCGTCAACCCGAGGTGAATCAAGCCAGGTCGCAATCGAGTCGAAAGGACGCCCCTTTCTTCTGATCCCTTCTCCGCTGGGGTGGGTCCCATGGAGGGACGCGGGGGTGGAACGAGTGTGGGGTGTGTGTTCCCTGTGAGGGTGCCGGGCCAGCGTGCGATCGCCCCCCTTCTCCGTGTGGGGGATCTTTCGGCCAGTTCGGCTCCCGTTTGGCAACTTAGGTTCAACACGCCCAGGATGGCCCCAGGACCGCTCAAAAAGCCTCCAAGAGGGCCCAAAAGACCCCAACCCAGACATGCGACGCCCTGCATTTTTCAATACGGGGTCCCTGGAAATCCCGAACCTTTCCCCGGGACCGGTTTTTCATCCTGAGTCGTTTTTTGACAATCCCGAGGCCCGGCGAGGGCCTCCCAAGGCCGAACATTGCAGAAAACCCGCCTTCCGGACTTTTTTCACGACGCGATCGTGTCTGGGAAAAGGGCACCTGCGCGGGCAGCCTGCGCCGCACGAGTGTAGGCGCAATCGGCCCCACAATTTTTGCTGCGTCGCCCGCGTGGCGAGGCGCTGTTGGATAACCAGAGCCTCCTCTCCCGCAGGGCCTCGACCTGCCGCAGCTTTGCAGGCGATCCATACAGTCAGACTCCACGTGAAGGAGGACGGTAAGGCTGCAAGGCCCTTGGAAGTTGGGAGCTCCTTGGACGCGCACATTGGCTCAGGATGATAGGGGACCACATGCGAATCCTACCCCTATCCCCCACGATTTCTGAGTGGGAGGGTGGGGTAAGGTTCGCATGTGCCCCCCTAGGTTGAGCCGAAGAAGCGAGGGACGCAAGGGCAACCTTGATGAAGCAACGCGTCATTACTATGTGTTCTGACCGTACCATCTGGTCTTGGCCTGTTTTCCACCACCACCACCATAAGTTGGAGGGGGGAAGGGGTCCTCCTCCTCCACCTCCTCCTCCACCTCCTCCTCCTCCTCCTCCCCATCCCAACTGGGAGCATCTGGCCGGCCTCGCCTCTGCAGCCCGCGCGGAACATTTTGACACCTGGCGGCCCCCGGAAATCTTGGCACTTTTTCCTGCCATGATTGGCGGCGCACTCTTTCCTGCCATAGGTTGAAGAAACAAGAGACAAAAACTTGTGGCGCTCCGCGCGGATTTCTTGGATTCGCTCTGGACCCCCCCTGCTTGGCGCGCAGACCGCGCGGAACGCCAACAGTTTATGTGTGTGTATGGTTTTTTCGTCTCCTTCGAGGGAGGGGAAAGGCTTTCGAGGAGGATGTTGCTTCTTAGAGGGCGCCCGCCCTACAGCTACAAACAAGGCCCGCGCCTTCTGAGAGGCAGGGGGCGCTTCTGAGAAGCCCTCCCCGCTCCAACCTGCCCCCACTTCTGCGCGTGGCTGACGCATCACTGCCATGTCGTCCTGCCCCTCCGAGCTGAGGGCGGGGGGGGACGCGAGACCGGCAAGCGTTCCCTTCCCCAGGGCGCCGCACCCCCGAAAGCACCGGGGCAAAACAGTCAGCTGAGGCCTCGGCCATCGCCCAAAGACCATACAGCTGCACAGACAGGCCGGCAAGCACCCTGCCTCGATGGCCTGCGCGCCCCATCCTTGAGGCGAACCCCGGCCAGAGATATGCGGAGGCATCCGGTGGTCTCGGGGAGTCATCCAAGGTCCTCGCAGGACGCGTCCCCCCCCCAAAAAAAAACAAATGTCCAAGACCTCTGTCTTCGTTTCTGCATGCCTCCTCCTGCCCGCTCCGTCCTCGCCGCTGGACTCGAGGGCCCAACATCCTCTCTCGCTCCTCCCCCTCACTCCACCATCCACCTTCTCCCTCACTCCACCTCCAGTCACCATGTGCAAAACACTTGAGGGGTGATTCCTGTGCGCCAGGGTCCTTCGCAAAAGAGCCACTAGTCATCTGATGCGATGAGGCGGCCTGCTCCCCTAAAAATGCAAGTTGCACCACGGGCCATTCGAGGATACCTGTGGGCTTCTGCCTCTGCAAGACCCCGCGGATGTTTTCATCCTGGTGCTGGTGGGGGCTTGGCATTGCCTTTTCAGCGTCTTTCGGGCTTCAGATGAGGCCCACCGACCGCATTCCGCACCAAAGACCACTCCCCTTATGATACATATGTTGGGGGGGTGGGAAGGGTGCGCACCAAAAACGTTGTGTTGCACGGTTCGCTTGGGTCGGCAAACTACTCTCTCCCATCCAGGCTGAGGCTTATTAGATAGGGAACGAGAAGCCGACATAAACATAATAGGCGCACAATTTCCGAGTGGACGCCCGCCTCTGCGCGCGGGCTGGCGCGCGAACCTATTTCATCGGGGCGTGCACACTGATGTGCCCGATTCACCCCACTCGAACACACGCCCGATTCCAGGGCGTCGGCGACTTCGAAGCGGCAATCTCCAGGGACCGCCAGGCGTCGGAAAACAGACACGGCGGGCGAGCGGAAAAACCGAAAGTCCTCGCCGGCGGATTCCCCAAAGCAGTTCTCACTTTGCTTTATGTCATTCGGACGGTTTGAGCGGCAACGCGATTTGGAGTTTCATGTAAATCTCACGTGCTCTGTGTTTGATGTCGATCAAAAGTTCTGTCACCCGAGGACACCCAATGACATGCAAGAAACCAAGAACCCTGCTCCGCACACCTCAAAACACCATCGCGGATAGGTTGGTGCTTGGTTTTTGGCGCGGCAATGACGCACGTGAGCTACGGCAGCAACTGCTCGTCCTATACAGGCCGTTTGCGCACTTAGGGGAACTGCGGCATCACGGACGAACTGGTGCGAGCATTGGCTATATTTGTTGCGAATCGGTCTCAACCGTTTTCGCGGAATTGCGCCAAAGTGTACTGTTATGATGTTTATGCAGTCGTTTTGTTCCTGATTAGAATACTGTGCACACCGACTCCAGTTCATGTCCTTAGCGCGAATACGAAGAAGGGGGTGCTCACGTCGGCCTCGCGGGGTCTTTTGGTCCTGGCGCACTTGGGAGCTCCTGGAGCTTGAAATTGGGACCAGACTTCCAAGCGAGGTCCTGAATACATGCCGGCCTAAACCGAATGGGTCTCACCTCTTGATCCAGCGTGACCACATTCTGGACTGCAAAAAACTCGGCTGCCTTAGTGGCCACTCCGTCCGCAGCCGCGTTGGCGATGTAAAAAATGGTGCCGGACTGTCCCTGATCT